CCCCAACCCCTAGCCTACTTCGGCATAAGCGGCAATGGGTAAACACTAGCCTAAACAGCCAAAGAGACAGGTCGGATACGTGCCTTACTTCACATACCTCGGCGCACGTTGCTGAAATCTTATGATCACCCCTATTAAGCACAAGAAAACAGTTCGGGGTGGTGGTGGTGAGGAGACGCCCACCTCAAAAGCCAATTTCACTATACAGATACTTAACTGAATACATACTCCCACTACGGAATCACCCCTACTAAGTACCGAGGAACAAATCAGAGTGACAGTACTGAGAGAACACCCGCATATGGGGTCTGGCTTAGCAGCCTAAATAGCTCGAGATAGGACAACTACTTCGGCAAGAAAACATGTCACACAGACACTTGGAAAAATATACATTTTATTACAGAATGCCTCAAGGTAATTTACAAATTCCCATTTCCAAAACCACCAAAACAAAAATGATAGAGAGACCGATCTCGTAGGCCCAGAATACAAGGAGCGCCTAACTACTTGGGAGGATCATCAGCCTTACTCGGGGCTTCTTCAGGGGTCTCCTCGGAAGAATCGGTCAGGTCGGTAGTGTCAACCTCCTCGTTGCCTCCATCATCTTCGGAGTCTGGATCATCTGCGGCCTGGCGTGCCATGTCATCCGTAATGTTGTAAGAAGTGAAGGCACTTATATCCAGATTGGAGTAGGCGTGCCTTATCCACCACTGGCCGAGCTTGAATCCCCTACGGTAGGCCTTCAACATTATATTATCGAACCTTGACGACTTGACGTAGTCGATGACGACCTGAACCTTGGCCCACTCCAGAGCGTCATCGAAGATCTCCATCTTCTCCTTGATATCGGCCTTAAGAAACTCCACCTCGTGCTCAAAGGCCCCCTTGGCTTCCTTGAGCCCTTGTATCTCGAACTACAAAGCCCCCTGGGCCTCCTTGAGGCTTTCCACCTCGAGCTTCAAGGCTTCCTGACCAACTCGGAGCCCGTTCACCTCAGCCTTCAGCCTATCTCGTTCACGGACCAGCTCCTCTTTCTCTAATGCCAGGGCGTCATTCAAGCTCCTCTGAGCAGCGACATCACTCTCCAACTGATGAATCTTGTCTTGGGCTGCCTTTAGCTCGGTGTGAGCCACACGGGACGACTCCTCATCTGCCAAAGCATGCCTCAAGTGTTTGTCAAATTGGAAGGTCAAGGCATGCACGGCAGTGTTCGCCTGACAGAAGGAAGATAGTTAGTACCAAAAAAAAAAGGGGAGAAGGAGCCAAAATAGTGGCTCTCGGAAAATGGACTCACCACCATAGCGTGGGTTGCAGCACGGGCCCTGAGTTGGCCCGGGGAGAGATCAGCCCAACTCACAACCTCCGTAGTGATAACCACCCTCTTACTTCTTTCAAGGCTGACCTGGGGATCCAAGATGGACTCCTCCTCCTCTCTAGTCCCCGAACTAGATGCCGCCGCATCTGCAGCGCAATGGGCCGAATCTTTGGAGACCTCGGCAGCCGCCCCAGCAGAGCTCGGAGCTTCAACGGCAGCCCCGGCTGGCTCGGCAACCAACCACTCCACAGCCTCAGGCTCTTGAGGCGGAAAATCATCCTCCAGGCCTATCATTGGAGGGGCATTGGAGGATTCGGGCTCAAGGGTGGTGGCCCGAGGGTGGTCGGGCTTGTGGGTGGGGGCCCTCGGTGACTCCACACGAGCCTTCTTGGCAGCCCGCTTCTTTCTCTTCCTCATGTGGTGGAGGAGCATAGGACCAGTAATCCTCTCTTCTTCATCCATAGGACCTGCAACAAAGCTGGCGTCAGTAAACTCGAAGGCACCAGGCAGATAAAGCAAAACAAAAGATAGAAATAGACCTACCCGGGCTCAAACCGGCCTGAACAAGCTTCTCTTTGGTGATGTAGTCCCGATGATCGAGCTCAGCCTAAGCCCATGAGTGGAAGGTCTCCCACGTCTACTGATTAAGGGCAATGCTGGTAGCCTGGGTGGCCACCCTATAGTTAGTGAGGAAGGGCCACCCCGCGCTGGATCGGACTACAAAATAGTCCCATTTCCAGGCCGGGACCTTGCTCGGGAACTTATGTAGCATCGTGAAGCCTAGGCGAGGAGACAAGTAGTAAACCTACCCATGCTCGGGAGGAGCGCTAGAGGCGCTCTTTTTTATTAACAGTATGGAGCAGAGTATGTCCACGTCCAAAGAAAACCGGCGTTCATGACAAAGGGAAATGGTTCCAACCAAGTTCCGAATGGAATTGAGGTGGAGCTGATCCAGCGTGAGGCTGAAACGCCCCAACACCTCAGGGATAAGGTGGTGAAGAGGGAGACGAAGCCCACCGACGAGTTGTTCCCTGAAGATCATGATCTCACCCGGACCGTGCTCCCAAGGGAATTTGCCGGTAGGAAGGCTGTAAGAGTACTCTGAGGGAAAGTTAAATTGTTGAATGAGGTCCTGAAGCCTCTCCAGCGTCATGGTAGAAGGACCGAACTAGTCCGGTGCCCGACCTCGATGAGAGTGGATGCCAGTTTACCCGAGGTTGCTCGTGCCTCGTGGGAAGGCCAGGCGATAGCAGGATCGCCCTGACCCGAGGTGCCCACCTCGGGTTCGTCCAAGAAACTGTCCCCGCTGGACATAGGGAGGAACGAACTGAGAAGAAAAGAAAAGAGGGGGAACTCGGGGACTCACCGGAGAAAGATGAAACCGAGCTGGAAGACCTGAGCTGGAGACCTCAGACACGAGCTCAAGACAGAAAACACTTAGCGGCGAAAGAAAATGGCCAAAACCCCGATATTTATAGCCGCGGGGCCCGATAGCCAACGCTTAAGATTGGAGCAATCCGACGGCCCTCAAGAAAACCGGCTGCGGGACTCTCAAGGCGAAATTGATTTAGCGTATTTTTTGGCGTCCGCGAAGCCTAAAACGCGTGACGTCCGTACATGAGTTGCACGCAACACGGGTTTTCCATCCGAGCAAACCGAACACCTGACCGGTCCAACCGCTGAACTGCCCAACGTCATGGTGCAAGTACCAAGCCAAGTCCACCCA